TAAACAGGCAGGGCAAAGCTGACCTCGATCAGTTTTGATTACAGCAGATAAAACTTACATCTTCTCCTTTTCAAAGGTATTTCTCAAAGAATTCCAGAGAATAAGCTAAAACCCTGTTTTCGCAGGCTGTCCTGCAAGTCCCACTTATTTTATCAGAATTTTCACCTGATCAGCCTGACTAGGGTTGGTTACATGCACTGCCAGGCTTTTAATTTCTCCCACTCTGTGTCAGTTATGTACTAGGCACCTCCAACCAAGTTACTTCAGACAGGAAGCAGTTGCACAGAACTAAAAGAGGATCTGCTTCTACAGTTGGAAGGCAGAGAGGACAGGCTGCATCAGCCACACAGACAGCAGACCTTACCAGTCAGCCCTCCACTGTCCTAAAACCTGAATTCTTCTGGAATAGCACCTTTGTGTGAATAAACATTTCCCACTGCACCACAACTAACGTTACTGTGATTATAGTGACTGGGAACTTGATGCCCAGACCACTTAGGCCAAGGAATACAACTTGCACATATTTGGTAGAATAATGATCACGGAATAAGACAGAATTAGGAAATGCCAGGTGCAAAATACCACCAATATTTAACCAAAGTTTGTTAAAAACATTACAAAATAACGTCTGTATTTTCAGAAAGTATCACCTTAAACTCTGGATAATGGCTCAATGTCAAACCAGAGCTCATTACAGCACGGCTCCCAGGGCCGTGGTGTGCGGGGAGCGCACTGTTGTGAAGGCGCAGAGCACCGGGCCCGCTGCCGCTGTCCCGCACCCAGGCCGGAGCCCCGAGGCCACCTCCCGTTCCCGTCGGGAGCCGAACGCCGGGCAGCAGCTCCCACGGCAGCGGCGGGAGCGCTAAGGGCACACGCACAGCCCCTCGCAAAGTTTCGCGACCTGCTGCGGCTCCTTCTCAAGGCTGCCGAGACGCCTCCAAGCCCGCCCGCCTGTCAGCGCGCTGCCGGCGGCCTGCTGCAGGCTCACCGGCGGCCCCGGGGCCCGGCCTGCGGCACCAACCGGACCGCCCGCCCCAGGCCGCGGCGGCACCCGGCCCGGCCCAGCGGCTACCACCCACGGATGGCGGGGGCAGCCGGGCCCGCGGTCTCCTTCCCCGCCGCTGACACGGCCCGCAGGGCCCGGTAGCACCGCGGCGCCGGGCCCACACCTGACAGGGCCAGCGCTGACCGCGACCCGCAAGGCCTCGACCGGCCGGGCCCCCGCGCCGCCCCCTCCGCGCCCCCGCGGCTCTCACCGGGTCCCAACGCTTCCATGGCGGCGGTGGTGGCCTCACTGCGGTCACCCCCGGTCCCGACAACCGCCCCGGGCCCCACCGCCGGCCCCGCCGCCGTCGCCGCGTAGCGCTTGATCTCCGGAATATTGGCTGCGGGGTGGGGGCCCGACACGGAAACGGGGGCGACAGCGGCGGCGGGGCACGGCGAGGCGGCGGCGGAGGAGGAAGATGATGAGGAGGAGGAAGGAGGGGGGGGGGGAGCTGTCCCCGAGCGGCGGCGCAAACAATCCCCCCGCTGCGCCGCCGCCGCCACCGAGCCCGAGCGCGCTCCCGACAGCACGCGCCGCCTTCCCCCCGCGCGCCCGAGGAGGAGGAGGAGGAGGAGGAGGAGGAAGAGCAGGCCCCTCCGCGCTGCTCGGGCACCGCCGGCTCACGCACGCGCGCCGCCCCCTGCCGGCGGGAGCGCGCACGCCGCCCGCACCCGTTTAACGCAACAGGTGACGGCGCCGCCCCTCCCCTCACGGGAGCCGCGGGCCCGGTGCCCGGGGGCTGCTCTGGTTTGCTCGACCCCCGCCGTCCGCTCGCACGGTCCGCAGTTACCGCAACAGCGACACAAACCCCGGTGCGCCCCGTGACGGCAGCTCCACGGGTGCCTTCCACCCCGGAGCCACGCTGCTCCGGCCTCAGCCGCCCCCCGACACGCGGAACTCACCCAGGTCAATGAATTACACCCTGCAGTAAGATCTCTTAACAGCTGATGCCTTAATGAGACCGGAAACACCTGAAATAAACAGGGGAACCAGTGGACACGGATACCTCCGGGATATCTTGTGTTGACAAGATGGCTCGTGAGGATTAATGGTGGGTGAGCGCCGAGCTGCTGGTAGCTGGCGCTGAGATACAACAGCCAGTGGACATCCATCCATCCATCCATCCCTTCCTCGGGAGCAGCCAGAAAGGCACTCAGCCCCTAGCTCACACCTCACCATGCCCACTGGGTCCGCTCCCCCTCTTGTCAAAGAGGATCCCTCTGGTTACAACCACCACCAGCAAATGCTGTCCTTCTAAAAAGCCAACATTTCAGGCCACAAGTAAAGGCGTTTCCGACTTTCTGCCTTTTGAAGCAGCTACTTACGCAAGCTGCGCCCCTGCACACCCCCTCAGGTTCTGTTTAGCCAACAAGTCTCAGCTGACTCACAAGAAGGTCAGAAGTCAAAACATTTGATAAATAATAAATGCCCAGTCCATTTTATTTGCCTTTTTTAACCTGCAGGGTTGATATTTCCCAAGTTGAAACATCAAAAAGCCTGTTTTAAATGAAATGAAATCCAAGATTCTCATCTTTGCCTGACAGCCATTGATGAATACTTAAGGGAAACACCGGTTTTACGAGACCAGTAACAAAACCCCATGATGTCTGGCAACATTTTCATGCTGCCACTCAGCATTTGTATAAAATATATATGTAGTGCTACGCAAATAGTACTTAAAAAATTAAACAAAGACACAATCTCTACTTAACAAAATCTGCAATACAAAGGCTTGGTCCCGTAACATGCGGAGTATGGCAACTCAAACCTATACTTAAGGCATTATAAATTCAGAAAAGTCAGCAAAGCAATTAACTTCATAAATATTATGGACATAATGAGGCATCCTTATTGCCCAAACAGTCAGAACCTTACTTCTATATGTTAATCCACCCTCATATTGAGAGCAGCTCCATGTTTCCAGTGATAACACCCAATTTGGTTACAACAGACAATAGTTATGACAGGCTTAGTCCAGAGTTGCTTCTAAACATCTCACCTGCTACAAGTTGTGGAAGGAGTATGTTATTTACTGAAAAACAGATTCATAAACTAGCTTTTAAGATATGAATCTGTTAATACGACATTTTATCCAGTGCTAAAAAAAAAAACCACCTGAGCTTAGTCTAAACCTTCTTAAGAGCAAACATTTATCAAGAGTCACCTATTGCAGGAGGCTGCCTCGATATACCGGGTGTGAGTAACAGAACACAGGGTCAGAAATAACCTAAGAGCAGCTCATCTTTTTGCCACCTTTTCCTTGCCACCTGACTCTCAAAACTATTCCAAACACAGCTGTAATCTGTAATAAGATTTCACATTTGACTAAGTCAAAAAAACTGGTGTCTAGGTTTGTTTTTTTTTAAATGGCAGACTACCCAGAAAGACCCAAAATTCCAGGAATTTCTAGCACACCATCACCACCCTTTTTGCATCATTCATTACCAGTTAGAGAAGGGCCTCAGGAAGCAAAGGTCTCCAGAGTTACTGCTTCTATGGCAAGGAACACAGTGTTCTGTAGAGAAAAAGGACAGATGGTCTTAAATAGTGCTGGATATGTTTTGTTTACATTTGTGCAACTCTAAAAGCTTCAAGGTTATTTATTCACAAAAGTGGATACATGTTTTAACCAGGTAATTTCATTTGTTGCTAAAATTGAGGGGTTTCTTTTTGTTATCTACTAGGTTAGAGGCAGTATCTTAGTGCTATTGATTAATGGTGGGTTTGCAGAGCCCCCATTACAAACCAGTGATTATTAAATTACTGTAGCTCATGAAGTAGCTCCAGGAAACCAGAACTGCTGTAATGTTTGCAGTGGGTTTCACAGACATTTGCTTTTTTCACTTCCTCTATTCTCAGACTTGTTGGCGCTACACAAAGTATCGTAGCAGCTGAGTCCATCTGCTCCTTATCCCCCACGAAGCTGTGCCTTACACATACTTTTCCTGGGCTTTGCCTTCAGTGGCAGCAGATTGCTGCTGTATGACTTGGAAGAAAAACACTGCTGTAGCAGTATGCTCTACAAATGGTGAATGTAATGCTGAAAGAGCACCAAACATCCCTAACTCTAGTTCAGAACAAGGTCCCAAACACTCACCCCACCTCATTGTACTTCCTCCAGTTGTCAGTGGTAGGAAACGGGCTGCAATCAACCTTTGAAGTTCCACATTCTAGGGAGGAAAAGAAGAGATTGAAGCTAGATTACCTTAAGGTCCTCTACAACCCTAACTATTCTATGATTCACAGCTGCTTACACAAAACCAGCACTGCATCTTTCTGTGACATCCTATAGCCTGAAGAAGGCTCTCAAGCATCAAGGTTGAGTTCTGACCTGCCATCCTTTCCCCTTTTGGCGGTTTTTAGGCCTTACATACTGCAGGCTTGGCACTGCTGGCACTGCTTTACATGGATAGAACAGGTTCAGGTGTAAGACTTCTCTCTGCTCACACTCATCTGTACTCATCAGTCCCAGCTATTCAGGGAAGGCTTGTTGCACTCCCACTAGCACATACCTGCAAGATGCCTGGAGCAGGCCCATGGCCTCCTGAGGTGGCGCAGCACCCGACGCTGGTGTTACCTCACGCTGGCTCTACAAACAGGGCCAGGCTGCCCTCACGAGAGCCCCATTCTAGAGCACGGCCTAAGCTCTGAGGGGGCCCATGACCCCCAAGGCAGCCACACAGCCTAGGGCCACATCGAGAGGACTGCTACCACCGAGCAGACCCCCAGAGCCCAAAGACACAGCCATGGACAGACCCTCAAACGGCGCCGCCGAGAACCACCACAGCCCTGCAGCGCCCACTCCCTTCTGGCAGCAAGGCGGGAGTACCGCAGGATGTCTCTTATATAGTGCGCGGCGGCGTAGAACTCGAGCAGTGATTGGGCCAGGCGAAGGAGGAGGGGCTACGCGGCGAAACCTCCCAATAAAAAGGCGAGGGGTGGGGCTTGCGGGGCAGCTATTGGCTGTCTCTAGGGATAGGCGGGGTTATTTCAGGGCGCGAAGACTCGAAGCGGGCTCCTACGCGGTTGTGTGGCGGGAGCGGGTCAGGGCGATGGCGGCGGCGGCGGCGGCGGCTCCCGCCGAGGTGAGCTCTGTCCCTGCGCCTTGCCCGGACTGGCGGCGGCGGGTGGTGGTGGTGGTTATGGTTATGGTGGTTGTGGTTATGGTGATGGTAGTGGCGGTGGCAGCCGTAGCTGTAGCAGTTTATGGCCTGCCTGCGGTCTTGGGTCTCTGCTGAGGGTGGTGCCATGGAGGGCTGGGTAGGGTAGCGGGAGAGGCAGCGGCGGCAGCGGAGCCTCTCTTCTCCGGGCGGCCCCGCACGCTCCCCGGGCTCGCCGCTCTCGTTACAGCCTGCTCTTCCCTGCAGCCCCGGCCGCTCGCCCTTCCGCCTTGCTGCCCGCGGTGCGTGCTGGGAGGGCCGTGCTCGGCCTACCCCCGCGGGCGCGGTGCATGCTGGGCGCCGCGGGGCTGTGCTCGGGGCCGCACGGGGGTGGGTGCCTGTTCTCCCTGGGTGGATGCCTCTCCTGGGGCTTGGGAGCGGCCGCTCCACCACACAAGGAGCCGGCACACGGGGCTTGGGCACCTTGTGGAGGAGCCTTTCTGAAGAACCTCTGCAGGTGTCTTCTGGTCCCTCTTTAATTTGTTCAGGTGAAATGCGGGAGTGAGAGAATGAAGTTTGCGTTGTAATGGCTTTAAATAATCAGTGCGGGTCAGCTGGCTTGTGGATTCCCTTTTTCCTGTGCGCAGGCTGGCCTGAAGTATTAATAAGTTGGCATTTCCTGTAAATACCAAGTAAATCTTACAATATAACGGTAATGTGTGTCTATATAGCTGTGTGTAAGGGGTTAGGCAAGGTTTTGGAATGCAGTTCAGCACCAAGAGTCATTGCTATATAACATGAAGTAAGGAAAATCTGGTTTTTGCTTTGTAGTCTCCATTAGAAGATTTGAGTTCTGACTTGCAGAAACGCCTGGACAGTGACTCTGACAGCGGACAGGGCAGCTGTGAAACAGCCTCTCCGGGTCACCTCAGCAAAGGGCCAGCATCTCCTGATGACAGAGGTCTGCAGTACTTCCGTGAATTGTGCCTGGTTGTTGTTACCTTCAGTGATGCGTTTTCCAGTTTACAAATGCCTTTTTAGGCTGTTATCATGGCTTAGCCTCTAGGATCCCAAAATCCCTCTTTTGCTGCTCAGAATGTGGGCAGAAGCCTGTAAATCTGTGAAAACCCTTTCTGAGGTACAGAAAGGTAAATAGCAAACTGGATGTGGGCCTTCTAATTGCTTATTCCTGTTATTGTTTGCTTAACCTCTGTAGTGACTGCTGGCTTTACTAGCATTTGCAAGCATTTACTAGCATTTCAAGACAAGTCACTGTCAGTGAAGGATTTTCAGCTTTGCCCTTTTTTAAAGGTTAAAAACCTATAAACAATTTGGATCAATTATATCCTGCCCTACAGGGAGAAGGGGATTGTGAAAACTTGAGTTCAAGCTGATTTGCTCACTGATGTGTAACTTTATGGTGAACTGGTTGTTAATTAACATGGGGCAGTTTTCTCCCTGTAGAATGCATCATGTCTTTTAATATGTTTTATCAGATTCAGAGGAAGAGATTTTTGTACGTAAAAAGACAAAAAGCAAGAAGGTGCTTCAGGACAGTGAGAGTGAAGATGGAGAGGATGTGCAGAATGGAACTCCAGGGAAAGATAAGGAAAATGAGGAGGAAAAAGAAAATATTACAGCCCAGAGGATCAAGAAACCCCATCGGATTCGCCAAGGCCTGTTAGATAGTGATGACAGTGACACTGGTGACCGACTGCAGGCTGAAGACCTTGAATCAAGCAGGAGGTCTGGCTTGTCTGAGAATGTGTTGGAAGAGGACAGACCCCTAAAATCTGGGAAAAAGTACAGAAAACGTAAACCACGTAAAGGGGATTTTGAAGAAGAGACAGCAAAAAATGCTATAGGAAAATCAAGAAGAAAAAAGAAGGAGAGAAGAGCTGAGTCCATTAAAAAGCTGGAAAAAGAGAAGCAGCCTAGCACAGAGGTGTGTATTTTGGCAGAAAATTTGAGAGATTTTCTCAACTAAGTTACATTTATTACTGCATTTGGTTATGTTTCAGTGTTCCAGTATTGCTGGTGTCCACATTACTGCAGCAGGTGTGGTATCCACAGCACACCACAGGGAGCATACCAGTTTCATCCACAAAGAAAGTGCAAACCCCAGCACTTGATAATTTAATGTCAGGCAGAAATTCTTGGAGTTCTTTGGGGGTTTGTGCCGTGCATAAACTGCTTTGATTGGTATTTCAGCTTTCTCTATGTTCCTGTGTTTCTGGAGGAAGTTTTGGACTACTTTCAAACTGGAATTCTGCTCTGAATAAACATCTGGTTGGGAGGTTGCATATTGTTGCTATTTATAAAATGCATGTTTCAGGTGTTAATTTATTCTCTGAGCCATTTTGGTCTTCAGTTGTTATTGAAGTTCCCTACTTACCATACACATAGGGAATACTGCTCCAGTAATGAGTATGACTGGCTTGCATGGCACACAAGATGCTAGATTAAACACGACATGTGATTTTTCTAATCTCTTTCATCAAGACCTTTTGAGAATCAAACTAATGTTAAAGAACTGAAAGGGATCTTCTGAAATTAATTATGTAACTATTTTATTCTTATAACAAGCATGTAGATGGTGGTGAAAGGTATCCTTTAAATGACAGTGGATGTCTTCTTGATGATAAGGAGCTCTTTGATAACGGCTTAGAAGAGGAAAACGAGGAAGAAGAGTCAATAGAATCAATACGAGCAGCAGTGAAAAACAAAGTGAGAAAATACAAGGTAATGTTCGCTAGCGATCCAAGATTCTTGGTTATTAGTCTTGTACCTGAGCATGTGCTAAAACTTTTTGACAATGGTGGGCTTCCATTGGTGTGACAGAGGAGAGAACGGTCCTTTGCTTTTTGTCCTTTGAGACATGTTGTCTTGGAAAGTTATAAAGATAATGCTATAGCAGGAGCTTTGGAAATCTGCCATAAGTGTTATGTGGGATTTATTTTGGTTTATGAGGATACTTGCTGGGTTTGCTGACCAGTGATGATCCAGTACAATTATTTCTTCCTTCTGACTTGTTTGCCTTTGGTAGTGCCTGTGTATCTAGACAACTGTCTCCTTTTATGCACTGTAGAACAAAGAACGGTTTCCTGAGGATGAAGGCTACAAACATGCATTTGATGATGAAGATGAGGAACCTGTAGAAAAAGAACCAAAAAGGAAGGTGAAGTAGTCCTCTTTTTAAAGCTGTCCATTATTGTAGCGACTCAAATGTGTTTTGTATGCACACTGCCCAATAGTTTTGTTGATTGGCTGGTTTTAATCTTCCTTTTTTTTAACTGGATGCTTTATTCTGACTCCTTTCTCTTTGAAAGGGAAAAATAAACTTAGTCACATATTTTCTTTTCTGACTTCAGAAGCTTTTCTTTCTTTAAGGAACGGAAAGCAGCAAGGTTGAGTAAAGAAGCCATTAAACAACTGCATAGTGAGACCCAACGACTTATTAGAGGTAAAACTTTGTATGGAAAGGGGTATAAACTATTAAAAATGGGAGAAATTGAAAGAATTTACTTGAAAGATTAGAAACTTCTTTTACCTAGCATGAGTTATTTAGGGTTGAAGGGGGCAAGGACCCTATTTTTATTCAAGGGTCTGTTAAAAGGTGTCTTTGTAACTAATGAAAAAATATAATTGTGCAAACACTTGGACCTGTCAATTTGTGTAAAGGTAGTGCAATATTTAGAGCTTGATAGGCATGCAATAAAATTAAAACTGGTCTTGCCATCCTGATACCAACATCACAGTTAATTTGCTAATGAGTCCATGGACATGTCGCATAATTGGTTTTCAAGGCTGCTGCTATTGGCACCCCTTCCCAAACAGCAGTGTTTGCTGGATTCAAGTTTAAACTGTGCTGTTTGTGCCTAGTAGATGTCTCTACTGCAAAATACTTGTAAAGCTTCTTTGAATTTCAGAGATATCAAATAAATGCATTGCATGATGTTTTAAATGTTCTTTCACCTCTCTCTGGTAGAATCATCAGTGTCTCTCCCATATCACGTGCCTGAGGCCAAAAGTGTTCATGACTTCTTCAAGCGTAGACCTCGACCAGTATGTCAAGGAAATGCCATGGCATTACTGAAGTAAGGACTTAAACCTTCCTCATATCTTTTCATAAATTTTGATGCTAACCAGACTCTGCATGCCAAAGGTATTGTACAGACTTACACACCTGGAGATTAGGAGTATGTCACTGTTAACATAAGGCAATGCTCCTGTCTTGATGCAGTTGTACTACTAAAGTAATCAGGGTGTAGTAGTAACTCCAGATGAAGTAACATTCTCATGCAAAGGTACTTTAATGTAGTTCAGACCGAGCCCCAACATTTTACTTGGACCGTTTCTTCTTTTGAGTAATGTGTAGTAAGATACTTAAGCTACTATAGCCACTAAATCTCTTGGGGAATTTTGTACTGTGATAGTGTAACTAACCAATACAACTCATGGGTGATACTTTTTTTTTTGTTAGGTCTGCTAAATACCAGCTATCCCTAAATGAAGAGCCTGCAGACAGTAAGAACTTCAGCACAGATTGCAAAAATGGGCAGAGAGAAAGTGATCAATCAGCAGCTAATGAACCAGAAACAATTCTTGGCAAAGATGTTGGTGTTGCTGTGAGCAAGCCTCTTGTTGATGTAGGGAAGAACTTGACAGAAGACTGCGCTGAAAAACCCCAGCAGGACAGTGGTGATTGTCAGACAGTTGGGGCTGCAACAACTGATAATACAGGAGAGCAGCACTCTGAATTGGTAAGCACTGATACTCATGAACAGAAAGAGAATGAAATACCTTTAGCAGTTGATGGAGCTGCCCTTGAGCAAAGAGGTGAAACAGCACCAGATGTACAATGTGAAAAAAGCAATCAACAAGAGGAGCCTGGAGTGGCGGCACAGCCTGAAAAAGTGAGGAAGTCCAAGTTGGATAAACTTCGTGAACTGGGAATAGACCTGTCCATCAAGCCAAGAATCAACTCTGGCAATGAATCCTTTATAAACCTGGATGAATCTGATTCAAGTAAAGGTATCGCTTTTATTGTTGCAATTCTGTCTCATCTGTCCAAGTAACAGTTAATCTGACTTTAACTAGGAAATCTGATTATTTTTGTTTCAGGCCTCATCTCTGTCCTGTTTAGGTGATAGGACAGTCAGGCACGTTCACTTACTACTGTGGATTTTTTGATTAATGTTGGCATCCCTTTTCTTTCAGCTGATGCTTAAAAGGGAAGTTGTGAGTCTTTAATGCTTGAAAGCTTGAAGGACTGCTCAGTGATAACTATTTAAGGAATGGTTTAATTCCATTTCTCCACCATGAATTATGTTGGCACTTAAAGCACATGGGAACATATTTTCAAATGAATTCAAAATGTAACATGCAGTAATTATCTGGAAAGAAAAACTGGCCTGTGTTCCACTGACTTTTTCAGCCATCAGTCTGGTTTTAGATACTTGTGTTAACAGAAATTTAGAACTGGAAGTGAATTGGTCTTGTGGATAAGCGGTGGTTAATGGTAAGGTAATTTAATATTAGCTAATAGCAATTAAGTACAAGTTACAGCAGAAATATTCTGTAATGGTTTATTGGTTTTGTAGTCAAATAGAATGGGTTTGCAAATATTTTAATAAAGAATTGGAGTTTTAACCAACTTCCTTTGGGGGGCGGGAATCTTGAGGCATACCCTTGACACATTAATACTCAGTGCTTTTAAATGCTATAAAATGAATTGAATTTGCATTTTAAAGTTTAATGTGTATTTAAAGAATTGGAAGCCTTGAAAGCACGTTTCTTGAAGCACACTCTTCAGGCATCAAAATCCAAAGTTGAACGGACCATAAACATGAACATTATCCGTAAGGAGACTACATCTGAAGGAAAGGAGGAACTCAAGGCAGATGTGGTCCCAGCAGTGTTAGCAGCAGAGAGCCTGGATGAAACAGTCCACACCAAGCCAGGTTGGTGAGGGAGAAGTGATGATGATTGAATTGGCAAACTGTCTTCCCCACACACACACTTATTTCTCCCTTTTCCAGTGCTGCCCTATGAAATACAAGTGAAGGGATCTTCACCTGTGAAATTAGGGTGTTCCCGCTAATGGATAGCCCTGTTTCAAGGAAGAATCTTGAATAGACCTCTTAACTGACGGAATCAGTGCTCAGACTTTTGAACTATTACCATTTATTAGATCTCATACTTATTTCTGTAGTGCAGTTTCTGATAGAATTGTGCGTTTGCAAACAGAATTTGCATGCGACTCCTTGCATAGTATCAATTGAAATAAATAGATTCTTTGGCTGGGTTTATGAGCACACGCTATTTTTAGCTGCTCTTATTTCCTGTGCTGTAGCATATCTGCCCATGGCAACTGGATGCTCTTGTTCCCAAAAGAGGCAGTGGAGAGTAGGATTCTATTCTCAGTGTGCTGCACTAGTGGAATTTATGGATAATGAGGAATCTTGATAATTCATGAGTTTGTGTTGTCTAAATTGAGCTCATTGAAGCTGCTCCAGCTCTTACAGCTGCCAGATCAATTCATAAAAACATTTAAACCCAAGTAGCTTTTCCCTTTCTATGCACGTAGTTACACTTGGTTTGGATGCCGGAAGGCAGCGAGGTTAAGGCTATACTGTTGTACATCTAATGGGTTCATTTATTCACTTCTGTCCAGGTGAAAAGCTCCAAGCACTGAAGGCTAAACTCCAGGAGGCCATGAAACTCCGCAGGACTGAGGAACGCCAGAAGCGGCAGGCGTTGTTTAAACTGGATAATGAGGAGATGTTGGAGGAAGAAGAGGAGGAGGAGGAAGAGATGACAGATGAGTCTGAAGAGGAAGAAGGTGATCATGAGGTCTGTAGGCAAGATTTTCACAAGAATGTACAGCTTCTTGGTTCTGCTGCCTCCCTCCCATGAAATGAGACTTTAAGTTAGTAACAGGGGAAATTGCCAAGAGTGTTTCCTGGAAGCTGAAAAATTGCTGTTGTTGGCATGTTCAGGGCTTGGATTGCCTAAAACTGAATTTATTCATATTTTCTTTTCATATTTATTTGCTTAAACAGTACCAAAACCAAATATAAGTTCATAAAAGATTCTTTCTCTTCTTATATATCCTTGGCTCATTGCTAGCAGGGGATAATCTGAGGTCACCTGCCCAACCTGCCATAGCATTTACCTTGGCCTTTCCTTCTGAAAAAGGATCAGAATAGCTTGGCTGTTTTAAGTACCTCTGTGTCAGCTGAGTGGAATAGGTCCATGTAAGAACTGTGAATGTTGCTTGGCTTCATCCTCTGTGTGTTAAAATGCTTTCTTGAAAAGCATGCAAGGAAATTGACAGATCAAAAAAACCTCTGCTGTGTTCGGGGATGTTTTTTAGAACGTGGAATTTCTGCTTGATGAAGCAGAGGAGGATAATGAAGATACAGAAGAGAAACATGTTGAAGACTGTGATAAAGAAACTGACAAAGAATCAATTGATGGTGAAAAGCTGGAGAAATCTCTGCACTGCGATTCTGTTTTCAAACCACCTTCCACAGAGTCTACATTGATGCTTTTTAAGGACAGCTCCTCAAAAATGGGGTAACTAAACCAGGCTTTAAAAATGGCGCCTGAGCAATTTAAAATTTACAGTGAAAATACACAGATGTTCTTAAAGTACTTTCTATAGGTATTTGCTGGATTGTTCCAGTAGTTATGTGTGCATTTGTATATATTTGCTTTAAAAAACTTAATGGCTGTAACTTGTTCAGTGGAATAATTGAACCATACTAGATGTTAGATGTATTTGTGTGTTACCTTGTTTTTTGCAATTAGGTTTGACAGACAGTCATGCTCATCTTGTATATACTGACAAATCCATTTTATTTAATGAATTGCAGGTATTCTCTTCCTGATGAGAAACTTGAAATGGAAGAAGCTGCAGACAAAGGACCTACCAAGTTAGGTAAAGTAGAACTATTTTGGTAACTAGTACTTTTTTCTTTCACATGGCACACACAGAAGCTTCTCTTTGAGATGATATTTGATGTCTTTGTTATTTCGTCACCTGTATCGTTATACAGGATGATTATGAAAGTTTAGACTGGCAAAAAAATGGGAGGGCTTGAAAAAACTAGAGGAGAATAAAGTTCAGAATAATACCGGAAAACATAGAAACAGTCAGGAATGAATAGGATGAAATTCAGTAAAAAGTGTAATATGCATCCTTTGAAGAAAAAAATCCAACATGAGCACAAAAGTGAACTTCTAGCAAGGTGTCAGTGTGGCAAAATAGCATCTTCAGGTTTTACTGGATCACAAAAGTTAAGCACTGTATTAATACTCCTTTTGCAGAGGATGATGATTCCTTTTCCCTACCAACACTAGCAAAAGAGAATAGCCATAACAGCAGCTTTGAGTTGATTGGCTCCATGATTCCATCATATCAGCCCTGTAACAAGCAGGCATCACGTGGAGGGAACTTATCTGCAGCAGGAGGTTTCAGGTCACCTTCCCCAGGTTTTTTCAAAACGAGCTTTATCAGCTCTGCTTCTAAGGTAAGCTTCTGAGGCCTATTCCTGTCATATATTTACTCAGTGGGTAGTGAATAAATGTATTTTATTGTGCCTGTCGGATCTATCAAAGAAGATAATACCAGAAGGCACTCTCTAGCCAAATACTCTTGTGAGTAAGCTTTCAGAAAAGCAAACTGTCCCTGGACTTTAAAGTATCTCTGCACTGGAAAGGATAAAAATTACATTATAGAAACTTATGTTCTAAAACATCAAAGGAAAGATGCTGTAATCTGGTTTTTACATCTAAAATATGTACATAGCTAATAGTTTTTTTTAAGCATATTTACATGGATTGCACAACAGTGAACTCCTATGATTTATCAGAGCAGTCTGGATGTACCTGATTCCTGTCTGGTGTTAATCCTTAAAATAGTTTAAATGTTTTATCCCATTTTTGCTTTTGAATTCTAGGCTCGCAAGACAAATGACTTGTATATTTGTGTATTCCTTTGACTAGAGCTCAGGAAAGATGTCTGAGCCTTCTCTTCCCATAGAAGATTCACAGGATCTCTATAATGCCTCTCCTGAGCCAAAGAGTTTATTTCCAGGGGCTGGGGAGTCACAGTTCCAGTTTTCTTTGGAAGATGACACTCAGAGCCAGCTGCTTGATGCAGATGGGTAAGTAATAGGTGTAAAGCATAGCATTTTGTGCCCTTTAATGTATAACATAGAAATGAGACATACAGACCAGCAGGATCTTTCTAACTACAGCCTTTCTTTCAGGTTTTTGAATGTTGGACAACATAGGAATAAATACCAGTCTTCCAAGCATCAGCTGCCTCTGGCTAGTATGGATGAGAATGCGATGGATGCCAATATGGATGAATTACTGGATTTGTGTTCTGGAAAGTTCAGCAGTCAAGCTGAACATGTGCCAAATACCGACAGCAACAAAAAGCAGAACATGGAAGAATTGCTCAATCTTTGTTCAGGAAAATTCGTGTCTCAGAGTAAGTCTTGAGTTCTGTTTTCAGCTTTGCTGATTACTTGATTTATAAGCTTTATGATAAGGGACTAAGGCCGCATGTGGGATATCTGAGAGCATTAACAATTACTCTTCTTTGTGGGACCATGCTGTTATTTCTAGGATGCTCTCTGACCTTGGAAGAGTTAGAAGTATATCTGTCTGATAAGTTGCTATCTTATTACTTTCTGTAGCAGGTTCCCCAACATGGGCATCGTCAATATCTTCCAAGGCAGAAAAAGACAGTGACATAGAAGATCCGATGGCAGAAGCTCTAGCACTTTGTTCAGGCTCATTTCCCACAGACAGGTTAGCATTGTTCTTCCTAAAATCTACAAAAGCTTGTAGGGGTACTTGTCTCATTTCACTCTTAATGTGCTTTCATGTTCAACTTCAAAGTGCTATAAGCAAAAGTGTGGTCTGTTTTGGAGGTGAAGGGGAGGAATAGTGCAAATTGCTCGACAATCACTCTCTAAATTGGCAGCATGTACCATTTCCCACAGCTACTGTGAAGGGAAGTTCTGCTTTGTCTTTCACTGATAGTAAAAAGTGTTGACTAACTTTCCTCAAACAGAGAAAACATTGTTATAAAGTAGGATTTTTGGATGCTGTTCTGGGCTGTTGCCAAGCTGCTGGAACCATAACCAAATCTAAGTTGGATACTTGCATTTTTTTTTCCACTGATAAACTAGAAAGGTGTGTGGCTGCCTAACAAAAGAATAATGAGGCTTAACAAATGGGAATTCTAGAGGAATGGAAGAGGAGTTTTAGAGGGGGACAAACTCAGAAATTAGTTCTTGTCCCATGGTTTCTGCAAGTGAAGACCTGAGGTCTTAAAACATCAGTTCTAGTGGGGATTTGGGGCACTTAAAGCTAAATGCTGGTGAGAGACTGTAGCTCTTTGAGCACTCGCAGGTAATTGCCTGATAGCAGCTGTTGTAGTGGTTGAAACTTTGCCTTGAATGATTGCAAAGCCATCATTGGAGGTGAAATGAAAGTATGTATTTCTTTCATTTACTTTTCCCTTAGGGAAGAGGAAGATGAAGAAGAGCAAGAAGAACTCGGTGGCTTTCAGCTTTTAACAGATGATGATGAGTGTGAAAATGAAGAGGTATGAACTGATGGAGCAAGGCAAGCTGCGGCAGCATTCTGCCTAAGAGAATTCCATTTATCTCCTTAGTTTTTTAATTGTAACCATCAATACAAAGTATTGATACTTTCATATCAAGCAACTGAAGGTATTTTAAGAGCAATGTTTGGATCATTTTAAAAGTCTTCTTAATACCTATGGTATACTGGATAAAGCATCGTAGCATAGCAGATCCTCTCAAAAATATCTGCTGGTTTAATCTGTGTTATTGATTGAAGAGCAAAAGAAGCTGGTGTTACAAAGCAGTCCACTTTCAGGAATCCATTAATTCCTGAAAACTCTCTTTGACAGGATGAAAAAAGTGGAGACAGTGATGGTGAAGCCGCAGAAACGAGTGATGAAGAAGAGCAATTGCTGAGACGTAGAAACAGCTTGAAGAAAAAACTGTAAATAAATCTTTCGGTATCTTAATTGCCAGACAGAATAGAACATTATTAGAACTAGGAATTTAGTCTGTAATTACTCCATTGTCAGCATTTGTAGCTAATGATTGTGTTGTCTGTGGCTGCTTTTTTTGCTTTGGTGCTGTTACATTGAATGAGTTTAACTGTTGCAGGTGGGTTATAGAGGATTTCCATTCTAGCTTTTATTATAGATGGAAATAAAAAGAACAGTAAAAGCAGTGCATTTTTTTTTTTTTTTGACCAAAAAAAGGGGTGCAAGAGTATTGCTGTCATTCCTCATATCTTAAGATATTTATTGTTCTAGTAAGTAAAACATCTAGTTGGCAGTTATTGCAATCCCATTTGGTAGGCAACTGGCAAGGAATGTGGTGATGATAACTTGGAGTGCTGCATGTTGGCAGGCTGTGCATGTTAGACGTTCAAGAACTAAAGTAATTTCTCATTTAGGATATTGGTTTATGTCAGAAGATAAATCTTGCTTTCAGGTTTGTGTGATGACTATTGGTCTACTGAACTCTCAATGTTCTTTTATAGAAGACTGCAGGAATTCATGGAAGATGAGGCAGAGCTGTCGGGGAGTGATGTAGGAAGTGAGGATGAATATGATGGTGAAGACCTCGATGAATATGAAGAAGAGGTTATTGATGAGGAACTCCCTAATGAAGAGGAATTAGAAAACCAAGTACAGAAATTACACATGTCAGTGACAGTATTAGCATATGTTTTTGTGTGGAGTCATGGATGGCTATCATCTGGATTAACCTCCTCCCTTTCTCTGGTGTTGACAGGAAGGCAGTGCTAGATGATGACAAGCGCCAGTTACGCCTGTACCAGGAGAGATACCTCATTGATGGTGACCTGCATAGTGATGGCCCTGGCAGGATAAGGAGATTCAGATGGAAAAACATAGGTGCCTTTCTAATCCATAATTAATAGATGGGGGTGAAAGATTGGGAAGAGTGTGTGTGTAGATGAAATAGCTCTCGGTATTCCTCCAGAAGTAAATAAGGTCTTTCAGAAGTGAACTGAGGGGAGGATGTCTGGTTTTGTTTTTTCTTATTTTTGTGGTTTTATGTATTTTATGCCTTTTTTAAAATTAATGGGTTTGGGTTTTTTCCTTTGTCCAGATTATGCTTCACAGATTGACTTGTTCCAGAGAGACTCAGATAATGAAGAGGAAAATGAACAATTTGATGACACAGAAGTGAAATGGAGGAAAGAGCGATTTGAACGAGAGCAGTGGCTTCGTGAGCAGGTATTAGTTACTTTCAAGAAAGGCATCTTGCTTAGTGTTTGTACCATAGCTAGATGTGAAATTGCTAGCTCCTCAAGTTTAAACTAGAAACAGTACTGTTCCTAAATCTGTCTTTGAATTCATTGTGAATTCTACTCTTCTACAAGCATTGTACAAAGAGAAACTAATTCAGAAGAGAGAGGTGAAACAAATATGCTCTGAAACAAGCCAGCTTCAAAGCTGGACTAAATCTCCTCTCTGCTGCTTCAGGTTTTGAAAGTTTCAATGTTAGGTCAGATTCATTAGCTGAATGTGATGCTACAGGTTTGCTGTTCATGAATAGACTGAGATGGTAAAATCTAAGAAATTGCAATATGTTTTTACAGTACAAAGTAAATAAAAATGAGTATATATAATGAGAAGATTTGGTCTACTTAAAATATCAAATGAAACGTTTGTTCTTAAGATGAACTTCTACAACTCTGCAAAGTGTTTTCTCTCTGCTACAGAAAGAAAAAAATAAAGAGCAAGAGGAAGAGGAAGAAATAGGTGAAGACAGCCAATTCATGAAGCTAGCCAAAAAAGTAACTGCTAAGTCCCTACAGAAGAAAGGTAAGCTTACTTTTTATTGAGGTGACAATCAAACAAGAGAAAAAGTTCAACTTTCAGTCAGCACTTGTGGTCACCAGGGATCAGGAAATTCATGTCTAGTTTTCTTATACCAGTCCAAGCTCAAATCTTCCAGAACTAGAAAAGCTGAAGGTATAAAAGTATTGAAAATACGCAGCTGCAAGGTGGGTGATAATTGTGTGTATTTACATCATAAAATATTGTTTCTTCTGGAAACAAATGTTGTAGAATGGAAATACATCTCTGTTTAGTCTTTTAGTCTTCCCTTGCTTGCCTTTAAGTTGCAGAGAAGTGGGCTGTTAGTGACATACAGCCTAGCAGTTTCTTCAGATACCTGTGACTTAAGGAAACACTATGTAATGTAGTGAAAGCAAATTTAAGTTTTCCTTGGCTGCGGCAAAAACATGACTCAAGAGAAAAGCTGTTTCCAGACCAGATTTTCCCTTTTTGACTTGATAGAACTAATTGCCAGTCATCTGTTGTATGGCTCATAGTATAATTTGGTGTAAATTCCCACACATTTGCTGTCTGTTGTCAACTTTTCAGTTTAATATAAAACTACAGCCTTTCAAATGAAGTTCAGAACCTGACATTTTCCTCTCTGTCTCTCTTAGCAAGCCCAGCAGTAGTGGCACAAGACACAGCACTGTTACCTAGGAACCCCTTTGAAGCATTCAGACCAGCCAGTGACGTCCAGGTTCGTGATGGTTCTACAAAATGGTATTTCCAAACCACACCTGTAGAACACAGCAGTCAGCTGCCCCTAGGTTCTGGTCATTTCTGGTTTGCATAGTAGGGAGTAGTTTTTCTATTAAGAGTAGCCTACTAGTAACTTTTGCTCATGTGAGTGGTTTAACATGGCATTTCTTTGTTTTTCAGATAAAAAGCGGGTCTCTCTTGAACAGACCTAAAGCTGTCCTTCAGAAACTAGCAGCAATGTCAGACCTTAATCCAAACGCACCTCGAAATTCAAGGAATTTTGTCTTTCATACGCTTTCCCCAGACAAGAGTGAAGAGGCAAAGGAGAAATCCAGACTTCAGGTAAAGATGGGTGTGGAATGTGCTGCCAGTTCTGTACATCACCTGAATGTACAGGCACAAAGCACTGCCAAGCAGTTGAGAGCATTGCTGTTTTAAATATTCTGTCTCATTTCCCAGTGTGTGCTTTCACACCAAATGATTCTCTCATAATTCAGAATTTAAACTTTGAGGATTTTATATATTCCATTCTTATTGCAGGTGAAGAAAAGAGGTCCTTCTGCAGTAATAACACCTCAAGCCAAACGGTCTAAGGTGGACAGCACAGACGAAACAAGTCAAAGCCGAAGCATATTCCAGTACTTGGAGAGCTGAGTATTTCTGCTTAGGGCCAGAGGTTGTATCTGGTCTCTTTGCCAGCTGTGGTTTGTTTTGCAGGTCTGCCAGCAGCCATCAGGAAGGTAAACAAGTTGCTGTGTGCTCTTGAGCTGTCACTTAGTTCACAAGTTCCAGTTACTTCCAGCGAATGGTCTTGTTTATTCCCTTTTTAATCCGTTCTCTGTGGCAAATAAGAGCACAAAATCTGTGGTTCGCTTGGAGTGAAATACTAACTTGGTCTTTCCCAAGCATTAAGGAAACTTTTACACTACTTTATACTGTCCTCACAATCTCATATGTGTCAGTGGTATCAGTTCCATCTGAAAATACCATTTGTATGACAGGTGTGATGCAGAAATGCTGCTGTTTGCTTAAAGCACAGATGAAGGAGGTATTTCTGCAATTTGGGGTAAGAAAAATCAGTGTTAACTGTGGCAGGACATATGTTGTTTACACTCAAGTATGAAGCTGCCTATGGCTTCCTCCAGTGTCTTATTTCCTCTAATGCTAAGCATTTATTAGCTTGATGTTTTAAGAAGCACTAATTTATATTTGAAATGTATACTTTTAAAAAAGGTCCCACTCTTTTATGAGGCAGTTTAATAATGAGTTCTTTCCAAGTTTTTATTTCTGTTTATATTCATACATGTTGTGTGTATGTCTGGGGAGAGGGAAGAATGTGAATAATGTGGGAGAGGAAAATGAGGTATGTCGGGGGGGGTATTTTCTTGGGGGGGGGGGGGGGGGGGGAGCTGTTTGTTTTGCCCAACTGAAGGCTCTTAAATCATCCATTCCTACTGCACTCATCCAAAAGATGTCCATTTCTGAACAGCTAGTGAGCAGCCCTCTCTTGAATGAGGAGATTAGATAAGGACCCATCCACAGCTATTCTAAAGAAGAAACCTGGGATAGAATATAAAGCATTTCTGACCTTTCTGATTACATGTTGAATGTGTTAAAGTAGGGACCAGATTAATAGTAATAGTCCTCTCTGTAAGACTAAACATCTTTAGGACTTCATGTCACAAACTGAGGTTGGTGACTCTGCTGGATAAGTATCCTGAACTGTAAATTTTGTACCATCATACACCTGGTGTGCTCCATGTAAAATAACTTACTGTATATTATGTTTATAAAGAATTATGGTACAAATTGGAGTGCAACTTTACAATAAAACCTTGTTTTAATTTTGATTGAGGCAGTTGGAATTAATCTACAGGATTTCACTTGGTTTTATGTATGGGGTTTTCTTCCCCCAGATTGTTTATCTCTCTCTCTTCTAGGCTTTTAGGGGCTTTTTTTCCTCATTGCTGCTTTTCTTTTGTAGCCACAACTAAGCCCTTCTCTAGGAACAGCTGCAGTAATATTGGAATACAACAAAAACATATCCCTGCCATGTTTATTGGAGGGTAAATTCTCAAGTCCTTCCTATTATGTAAGCCACTTAAGTTTACATAAAATTCTTGGCCTTAAGAATGTTTCTTTTAACTGCTTCAGTAGTTTTGGTTTTGTTAATTCCTAGACAGAACTTCCTTTATCATTGGCTTGCAGTGTGCTTCTTGCAGTTCCTTCTAGCAGTTCTAATAATTAGTGTTATCTGGATTGGGGGGGGGGGGGGGGGGGTAGGGAAGAGAATGAAGGAGGAAAGGTCATTTATCAGATGTTTCTTGAAGAACATTATAACTGGTAGAAGGTATCTGAATATCCAGATGTTTCTCTATCATGGCGTTTGCACTGATTTGTAAATTGTGCTAATTTAGCACAGATCTATTGGGCAGTCACGTTCGAAGCTGCAGTTCAGCATCTCTTAATTTTGTTAGTAATACCTGCCACTAGAGAGCAGCACGGGAATGCTGTTCCCCTAGCGAAAGGGGAAGGAAGAGTGAGTAAAGCTTAAGCTGTACTCTTGACTGAAGGGGAAATACTTGAGAGTTTTCCATGCTCTATGGCATTGCAAAGGATTAAATTTATATAGACTTGTAATTGCTACATTTTGCAGTGTAAAATAGTATGTGATGAGCACCTTTAGAAGGTTGGCTTTGTCCAAGTGGTCTTGTTGCCCTCTCCTCAGCATATGCTAGCACAGTGATGGTATTTGTTTTGCTTTCCCTTTAGCATTTTCCCTTCAAAATATGTGGTGTTTGTTTTTTTTGTTTGTTTCAGAACCAAGAGCAGAAAAATAGTGTTGGGCTTGAAGAGCTTATAAATAGGAATAGATAAAATGGGAAGCTTTTTGGCTACTGCTCAGAGTAGATGTTTCTTCCACAACAGCTTTTTGGTAGTTTTGGGTTTGTGAAATGCTGGTAAGCACTGCATTGCACACCAGAAATTACTTGCATGGGAGCATATTCCATGCTGTGGTCCAGTGGTAGGAAGCCAGTGGCGCAGGGTCTGTAGGACCTGGAATCACAGCAGCAAGAGGGGTTGGTGCTGCTGATGCTTATTGTGCCAGACTCCATCTTCCCACCAGGGATGAGCACTGTGGGTTTTGTCCTGGCCCTTGCTGCTGACCTGCTCCCAACCATCTCATCACTCTGGCCAGCTCTTCCAGGGCTGCCCCTGCCCCACCTCCTGTCTGGCACATTAACTCAGCTTTGGCTTCTCATTTTCAGGTATTGATTCTGCTCCCCCCTCCTGGCACTGCGGTGATGCCGCTGTGCTAACGGGGAGAAAAATCCCCCCTGTTGCTGCTGGAAGTGCCAAGAGTGGTCTGGGGCTGGTAGGAAGGATTGCCTGAGGGTCGAGGCAGAGAGAGGTGATGTGGGGAAGGGTCCTGCACGCAGCCCTGGGACAGTGGTGCATTTCAGCCTGCACAGATGCAGCCTCTGTGGGGCTGTCCTGGGCTGAAGGAAGAGCTCCTTTCCACTTAATTTGTACTTTTCCCTTCTAATTGCAGTTACAGGTTAGAGTTGGGACTGATGCTGCTTGGTTTTGGCTTTGCAGGAGATGCAAAAGTGGCTGCATCTTTGTAGGTCACCAGGTTTTCATCTGAGATAGGCAGCGGTAATAATCACACGCCTCTGTGCCTCAGTTTCCCTTTCCTGCATGAGAGATGAGAAGAATAAAGTCTTTTGGATCTGAGCTCTGCTCCTAGACTCACCACCTTGATGAGAGGAGTGCTGCTAACCTAATTATGCACGATTACTTGCTGAGTGTGCAGACAGAATGAGCTCTTAGGAACCTAAATGATAGTGAAGAAATTAAAGGAGAACTTATTAATCGGGGGAAGGGACGGCCTTTGGTCTGTGTTAAAGGTTAACATTGCAGACACGTTTATAATCATAGCTTTCACCACTGCCTGGCTCCTCAGGGGCTCAAGGCAGTCACTGAATTATGTTTTCTTCCCCTTATGTTGTTTGTTGGGTTTTTTTCCCTTTTTGCTAAGAGACTGAAAGGGGGAGAGAAAAAAAACTATTTGTTTGTCTTGTCTAATTTAATTTATGTTATTTATCAAATAGACAGGTTATTTGGGAAACCAGATGGACCCAGGCTAAAATCATCTGTATTTCCAACATGTGAAAAATTATCTCGGAGTGGACACATGAAAAAGAGTGTGCTGTATGTTTTCTGTGCACTTATCACATGAGCTTCTGCACCTCATCTGTCCTGGACCTTTAATCACTCGTCCCAGACCCAAGTGTGTGGGTTAAAGGACAAAAAGACCCTCAGGCATCCTCCAAGTGTGGGGCAGGGAGGGCGTCTTCTGGAGCAGCTGTGTCACAATTATTTATCCTCTCTGGCTTTCACCCTGCTGGTAAGTTGGTGCATCTTTCCTCCAGGAGTGATAAATAGGGTCCTTTTTGGGGCTCATGAAAACATCTTTAGCATGCACTTGGGTTTGGAATGGAGCTGTTGCTGGTTTCAGTATCTGTTTCTTTTCCTTTGGTCCTCTGTAATTAAAGAAGGAAACACAGAAAACAGCAGCAGAACCAGGCAGGAAGGGCTTTAGTCTGCCTGAAATGGAGCAGGTAATTCAAGAAGTGCAGAAATACAGCACAAAAACTTCATAAAAAAACAAGTTTTGAGTGTTTTCTGCCATACAAAGGGAAAGGTAACAGCAGAGAGGCAAAACAACCCATCCTGCAGGACTGAGGATGCAGAGATGTTGCCTTGTGTGGTGGCAGAGCTGGTGCAGAGGATGCCTGGGCCCCTCTGGCTATTGCTCCTGCTCAGTTACCCTGCCAGGGAAGAGCTTGTAGAATGGTTTGGATTGGAAAAGACCTTGAGATCATCCAGTTCCAACCCCCTGCCATGGAGCTTGGGAGCTGCTGGACAGCAGTGAGGGGTCCTGCATGAGCAGGACACCCCAACTCCTGTTTTATCACTGAGAGCTGAGCCTGGAGCAGGCTCCCCTCCCCAGATTGCCCAGCAGCTCCTGCCATGGAAACTAGCTCTGTCTGAGGCTTGCAGCAGGATTGTGTTTATTAGGTGACCTGTAAAGCAAAAGTTCCATTCTCTATTAACTATTAGTCATTAATATTAATTATAACATTGCATACTCCATGTGGACAGATGTTCAGTCCTTGGGGATTAGTATTTTCTCTTGTAGCATCCAGAAGCCCAATTTATGGCTAACTCTAGCTATGCTTCTCCAGGCAGCAGAGATCTAAACCAGCTGTAATTAAAGAAAATGACATAAAAGATTGCAGCGAGGGGGTGGGTGAGAAGCAAATCTTGCAGCTTTGCAAGAGATTAATTTCATTTTTAGCTAGTATTTTTCTTTCTGCTCCTCAAGGCTGTTTTCATGCAACATGCTCTGTGCTGCTTCCCTTCCACTGGCTTATTGATTTTCAATAGTTGATGATGCTCGTGCATGTGATGATGGGAGATCAGTACCCGAGAGGTGTGTTCTCTTTGCATGGTAAGATGTGCACCCTTCACACATGTCCTCATGCTCACCCAGCACCCCAAAAGCCACTTGCAGCATCTAAGCTATAACAGCTCCTGAGGTGTTACTGCCACTGACTGACTGTATCCCCTTTTTGCTGGAAAGGGAGAAGAAGAGGAAGGAAAAGATCAGATGGGGTCAAGGCAGCTGGCAAAGACCCCCAAACAGCTGCAGGGAGCAAAAGCAGGGCTGGGGGAGCTGGATTTGATGTTCATCAGCCAGCACCAAAGCCACAAACCCTATAGAATTCTGGAGCGGGTGGCATTTGTCCATGACTCTTGTTGAAAGGGGGTGAGTGATGCTGCTGCTGTCTCCAGTTTCAATGGGAACTGGTGATGTCAAACTCCATTGTGGTGCATCATTCCTATTCCTGCCCTGCCTCTCCCTTCCTCTTCCATCTCTCCATCTGCAGCAGGCCTAAAAGCAGGGCTGTAGCCTGACTTGCTCTGCTCCCTGTCAGCCCTTTGGCTTCAGTGAGGTCCCATCTGTGGCCCAGTGAGGAGGTGTCCTTCCAGGGTCACTTTCCTGCCGCAGAGCCTGGCTGAGGCTGCACTAGGATCTGGTTTTGCCACCTGGGCTGCTCTCCCCTTGTCCCCTGCTCCCCAGGCAGGCTCAGCCCCTGAGCCTCTCCCAGGCACAGAGCAGGGGGAGCATTGCTTTGGCACTTGCCCGTGTCCCCCCCTGCCCCTTCCCCAAGTCGCAATGAATAAATCATTGTTTTATTAAGGAGAAGCAGCTGCTTTTTTCCTTGCCTTTTTTTCCTGACACTCCATCCATACCCATGCGAGCCCTTTGGCACATGCTCGAACGCCA